CAAAGATGCAATAGTCATGAGGACCTGAGATTAGATCTTCGGCGCCCACATAAAAAGCTGGCCATGACAGGGCACACCTGTAACCCACATGTGGATGCAGAGACAAGGGATCCTCAGCACTTGCTGGGCAGCCAGTCAAGCCAATCCCTGAGCTGTAGCTTCAGCAAGAGACCTACCTCAAAAACTAAGGTGGAGAGCCACAGAGGAAGACATGCAGCAATTGGCCTCTAACCTATATACCACAAGCACGTACACATATATGCACATATCACAACAACAGAAATGTTACCAACATGCATTTCCCTTAGAAACCCCAAAAATCTACTATTTGTTTGTCTGTCTGTCTTTTTTTTTTTTTTTTTTCCCCTGAGACAGGGTTTCTCTGTAGCTTTAGAGTCTGTCCTGGAACTCCCTCTGTCGACTAGGCTGGCATCATACTTACAGGGATCTGCCTGTCTCTGCCTCCTGATTTCTGGAATTAAAGGTGTGAGCCGCCACTGTCCGGCTCCAAATCTATTTCTTTGGTCACACTTGGAGGATGCTAGAGAGCAACTTCTTCAATTTGAAAACTGGGACAGAAAGGAAAACAATGTAACATTCACCCTACTTTTCCTGGGAAAGTTACATCTCAGGATTCTCAAACCAAGCTTTAAAGAAATGTTTTCTTTCTAGCTATTAAAAAAGACAGACTTGGAATAGCATTCTATATTTCTAAATCACAAAGCAGCAGATTTGAGAAATAGTCATCAATAGATGGAAATACCCAAAGGGGAGACAATCTGAATGTCTACGTGTTTCCTGATGCTGTAGCACACACATTAACTATGGAGCAGTTACCTAAAAACAATAGTAAAATCTGACTTGGATTCTAATGGCTATGCCACAAGGAATGCAATGGGTGAACATGCCTTGGGGCTCAGTGACCAAAATTTAGGCCATCAGTGACACTGTAGACAAAAATCTGTTTTCTTCAACCAATAAACTCTTACTAGAGAAGGAGTGAGCAAGTCTGGGAGAGTGCAGGTAAGGAGCCTTATCAGGTTACTAGGGAGGGCTGCTGGGAATGGAAGCCAAGGTGTTCTTTACTCATGGAGCCCTGTTTCCTTCCCCTTAAAAATTCTGATTTGAATAACTTACAAAATACAAACTTTCTCACTGCAGACTTTGAAACTATTAGGAGACATTTCAATACTGGCTGACCTCTTAATATCTTAAGAAATTACTATTCAAATTTGAGGAATTATAATGGCATTATAATACTAAATACAAATTTACTTTTAGAAATATATAATGAAATATTTACAGATGAAATGATAAGACACTTATGATTGACTTCAAAATAATCTAGCGGTGAAGCTGGAGAGATGGCTCAGTGTTTAAGAGGAATGAATGAATGCTCTTCCAGAGGACTCAGCACCCCACTGTGGTGTACAACTCTCTATATCTCCAGTTTCAGAGGATCTGACTTTCTCTACTCGCCTCTCTGGGCACCAGGTAGACATGTGCACATAGACACACATTCAGACAAGATAAGCATACACATAAGAGTAATAGTGACCTGGTGGGGAGGAAGTTACAGACAGACAAAACTAAGCTGGCTGTGTGTTGTTCTCAAAGACAGCTTAGGTAGGGACTATGAGTGAGTAACTGATGGAGGATTCCCCTCTGTATGCTGTGAACATGTTTTACTACTATCAGTTAATAAGGAAGCTGCTTTGGCCCATGGCAGAGCAGAATATAGCAAGGAGGGAAATCTAAGCAGAGATAGAGGAGGAAAGAAGGCGGAGTCAGGGAGATGTCATGTAGCTGCTGAAAGAGAAGGACGTCAGAACCTTACCGGAAAGTCACAACCTCATGGCAATACACAGATTAACAGAAATGGGTTAATTTAAGATATAAGAGCTAGGTAGGGATATCCCTGAGCCACTGGCCAGTGTTGTAATTAATATAGTTTTGTGTGATTATTCAGGTCCGGGTGGCCAGGAACAAAAAAAGAGATCTCTGTTTACAAGATACTAGTATGATCTCAATCTTTCAATGGCTATGAATAATCGAACCTCAGCAAACATATACAAAGATCACAAAGTAAAGCACTGAGCAAACACCACATTTGGGAGGTCAGGAATGTGTAAAACAGGAGTTGCTTCTGTGCCTCACTGGTGCCATGCTAGGGCCTCTTGCAACTCTTCCTAACACAGAGGAGACAGTCACCACAGGCCTGCTCTGCCAGGAGAGGATGCCTTCGGGGAAGATGCACAAGCAGCCATCAATCAAGTGTGATAGGGCTATGGCAAGAGCAGCAGCAAGGTGGTGGTAGGACCAGCTAGGGCCCATTCCCAGGGACAGGGAAGCTGGCCAAGCTGCAGGCTTTCCTGCTAAGCTGTGCAAGTGAAGCAGCATGGTGAGGGGAAGGTGCAGGCCATGGTGCCACACACCTACAGTCCCAGCATGTGAGACACACAGTGGATTATGAGTTTGAGGGTCGACAAAACCAAACTAAACCAAACCAAATAGAAAACAACCTCCCCAAACACACACACACACACACACACACACACACACACACACACACACACACGAAACCTTTGGTGGGAAAGACTAAGATGCAGAGATGCCGAGTTGGCATCATTATCTCTGCTGTGGCACTTCATGGTACCATTCCATGTTTTAACACTAAAATCTGACTATAAAAACCACAAATGACTTAGTCATTTTGAAGGTCTATAGAAGAATGATTAGAAGACCCTGAGCTGGTGAAGGAAGACTGAGAACCGAGAAAGAATCTATGAATCTAGACATAACAGGAGGCCTTGGCACTCCATTAGATACGCACAGTATTTCTGCTGTCTTCCTTTCTCTCCAGTCATGACAATATCGAGCTTAGGGAGTGGCTCTCAAGGAGGTTTCATCTAAAAAGATCTGCCTCTCGGTACCTCTATCTGCCTGTGCCCCTGCAGTGTCCACTCCTTTCTTGGGAGGTTCCAGCAGAATTGCTAGCTAAGGGCTATGTGCTGCTAAAACGCATCTGACATACTCAACATGCACATCTGTCCAGTACTACTCTAAACACCTCTGTAAGCTAAGCAAAGCTGCAGTGTCAGACTCAGGGTAATGAGAGCCCCATGCTCCTCCCCACCACCACCTCCCTTCTGCCTAGTCTGGGCAGCTCGGAACTATAGAGATGGCCCCCAGGAGGCCCAGAGTGCATCCCACAGCAGGTCATCCGCTGGTGAGTTCACATGTACACCTGTCTACTGGCACTGCTGCTCCTGCATGGCTGAGGGACGATGGCAGGTGTGGCACTGCAGTGTCCTTCGCAGTCACACTTGTATGCCTCATTGAAAGGGGCTTGAAGAAGTGTCCTATCAGACATCAAAACAACTTCCTGCATTTGCAGTCCTCTCCCATCATCTGACAAGCCTGCGACTATTACAGCCTTGGACAGCTCTGACTACATCAGCTTCCACTAAACACGCAAGAAAGCATGTCTTACCATAACCGATACCAAGTTTTGTACAGGCCTCTCTACCAGATGGGCCTGTTTCTTAGGTAATTACAGTATCAACAATTTTGTTCTCCCTCCAGCAAGAAGGGGACCAATTTACATGGATACAACATGTATAAGAATGCAGACCTTGGGCCTGAAATGATGTCACACAGGTTGTGAATCTGAAAGCTCTTGGTCTCCTCAGATCTTCCTCAGCAAGGCCTCTCCTGACTGCACACAATGAGGCCTAAAGTCTTCAGGGGACCTAGGAAGCCTGTACCCACAAATCTACATACCCAACAGAATTAGAAGACAATGCGACCACTGAGTGCTTCAAATTTGTTAATTTTCAAATGACTTGAAAGTCACAAAAACAGCACTACTAATTTTTTAAATTACATTAACAGTAAAGTGAAAAATAATTATTTTGGTTGAGCTCTAAAAATCCTCTTCTCAATGGAATATTTCCACACATTGCGAGGGCAAGAGCAGACACAGGGAATTTCAGGCTCCAGCCATGCAAACATCACTGCCCGTGTCTGAGTCTGTGATTCTCTTTGTTAGTCACTGCCGTGCTGAAGACTTAACGTGGATCTGTGTCCCAACATGGACAAGAGAACAGAATTCTCTTCTAAAGGCACAGAACTCTATTTTAGGTAAGGCTAGACAAAGGCATGCTCTGCCCCCAACATGCTGTGAGTTATTTCTCAAAGAAAGCTACAGCAAAAGCACAAATTCAAGGATCTCACGAGCCTATGTATGCAGGAGGTGAGGAACTACCCAAGGTCACGGAATAAGTTGTTTGAAAAGAACACATCACTCTTGACATCACCAAGGCCAAGAGCAGGGATGGATGGTACACAATGGGCTAAGCAATGACTAAAACAAAGCCTGCCCCCACCCCCAAACTAACCCAGAATTTAAAATCTCCTTGGGAAAAAGTAGCCAGGCAGCTCCCACCCAGTAACTTGACTTCCTCAGCAATAGTTCAGCATTGCAGTCTTACTCAAATTATAGACTGCAACGTTCTCAAGGGTAATTTGGCTAAGAAGAGCAAATGTGGAATTGACATGTCTAGGAAAACATTCCCCCAGCTACACATACCATTCATATCAAATCAAAGCCAACATGCCTTCGTAGCCCTGGAAACTATGACCATCAGATCAATACTAGACATTCTCCCCAGCCTCAACTATATTAAATATAGAAAAGCCTTCGGAGTGAAAGCCTCTGCCTGGCTATCAAGAGCATTTTCTACTCTGCCAATCTGGACGACTCCCTAAACGCTTCCAATCCGAGCTGTAGTGTAATACTCATATTTGTTTTTCCTTTCCTTTACTGGGTTTATTATTTTGAATTCTTCTACAAATAAAGCCTCTGTCACTCAGCCAAATGGCATTTAAAAATCAACTCAACTCCTTAATCAGATCTGATTAAGAGGAATTATTAGACTAAGAAAATTCTGAAGGCAAAGTATCTAAGCATATATGCAAAAATATCACGTAACACTTACCTATTAGGCCCTTTTCCAGAGTGAAGGTTTTGTTTGTAAACATACATTCAAAAGCCACGATGTGGAAAATCTTGTTCACTGTATTGTGAGTCCCAACTATTCGGATATACCTGAGGGTGAAAAGAAAGCACACGTGTTAGAATGAGTTCTGCCACACCCACGGCCAAGCTAGGCAGGTAAGGCACATCGCACCACAGAGTAGAAGGAACTTTGAGAGTTCTTAAGTCAACCTCCTTGGCTGGCTCATGGCCATGCCGTTTCACAGGGAAATAAGCAAACTTTGGCTCTGACTTACCTAGAAATCACATGAGGCACTATTTAGTTCAACCCTTGTATGTCATAGAGCAAATATAAATCCACAAGACATTTACTCTGGAGAATAACAACCAGCTTCTACCTTGACTCATGACTAGGAGTCTCTCTGGGTATAGGTGCAAAACTATAAGCAAGATCAAATGTTTTCAGCTCCAAGAGCATCCATCCATTGCAGGCAGATGCATGAAATCAATACTGCTTCCCTGTTCTGAAGGAAACATGCAAATAACCTACTGAAAACCACTACGGAAGGAAGTCTTCTCTTTAGGTGCTGCTCCCAAGTCCCTCTAGGAAGTCAGCCCCCACCTGAGTGCTGGGGAGCCTTCTCTGTAGAGAGGACCCAGCCCGTTCTGCAGCTCCTCTCTGGGCCCCACGGCTCTGCCATCTGCACATGGTGTGGAGTTTCACCGGGCAGGTCTGGAGTGTCTTGGCCTGTTCACCCTATCCATTTCTCCAGAGGCTTCATCACCGACAAACAAGCACTAAACTTGGAGCCACTTGCCCCCTTGCTCTAAAAGGACGGCAGTTCACAGGTTAGTGAGTACACAGTCTTCTGGGTGTCACACAATACCATAGGGAATGTACTCCATGTTATTGCACTAGAATTCAAAGGAAGAACCACGAAAAATTACTAGATTAAGAATTCTCGTTCTTCCAAATTATGAACTATGTACTGAGAGAACAGATTTCAATGAGGAAATGACAGGCTGGGCAAGGCTTTAGTAATACCCTCCCCTCTGCACACAGAACTACCTTCGATTTAGATGATATAATTTTACTTCTATGTTAATCGCTGTCCACTAATTCCGTAATTTCCTAATGTTTCTCATCACTCTGAATTAACTGCATAATGTAAAAGACTATTTGAAGCATTCACATTAAGGAGACTGTATTTAGGGGTTTCGCATTATGGGCTATCTTCCTCCGTTTCTTCCAGCCCGAGCCTCATGGCATTCCCTGTGCACCTCATTTAGCCATCTGCTCCTTGACACAAGCCGATCACTCATCTTCATAACCCGTATTAATGGGATCTCCTAGACTAGCTATTCAGAATGCCTGGACTTAGTGCAGGGAGAGTCATCCTTCCCTTGCTGAGACCTGGCTACTACCAGAACCCTCCAGGCACAAGGAAGGTTTCTCTGACTTCCTCAGCCTCAATGCAGACAAAGAGGGCTTTCTTTTGTTTTTGGTGGAGAGTTCATTTAAATTAGATTCTTAATGGTGTTGTCTTTTACTGTAGACAGCTAAAGTCACCCTGGGTGCTTTCTGGAAGGGAAGGGGTGTACTAAATCTGGCATCTAGGCCCGAATCTAATTTTGGTCATTTCCTGTAACCACAGGAACTCAACTAGCATTGCACTTTCAACCACACATGGCCAAGGCAGCCTGAGTGCTGCTGTCTGCAACCTCAGAGCAGGCAGTTTGATGCAATCTGATCAGATCCTATTCTCAAGGTTAAGTTACCCAAGAAGAACGAGCTCTCCTACTGTGCACGGTACAAGAGCCAGGAAATGACCAACAGGGCCTTTCCCCTTGGCAGTGCCTAAAGCAGATGCTGATTGGCCTCCCTTCCCTTTTTAAACATGGAATCAAGCTTTCAAGTTCAGATAATTGTCATTTTGCAATTTTACCCTGATGTAAATGGCAGGGACAGACAAAACAATGCAATCTTGCCTTCCCTTGCCACACAGTTATAAGCAACTGGAGACAAATAGTTGTAGTGGAATACATTTTACAACTTTAATGACAGTGTTTGTGACAATAAAGAAAATACTAGATAAGAGAAGAACACTCTTACGTCTCCAGGTCAAAGCCCCACATAAATGAAGACAGTGTTATCTCGACCCATAATCCTGAGGTCAAACGAGCCATTCATCACCGTACATCTCACTTCTTGCTGGCTACACAGCATGGCCATAACAAGCCCTGTCACCCAGGCTCACAGGCTTTCTAAGCCTGAACCATTACAGCATAACTTACAGCAATGGCTTCAAGTCCTTACTCAAACCCACACTTCAAGAAATGGAATGTGGTTCTTAAACATAAAACAAAGAAATCCAGCCCACAAATCACAATCCCAGAGAACCTAGACAACAATGAGGACCCTAAGAGAAACTTACATAGATCTAATCTACATGGGAAGTAGAAAAAGACAAAATCTCCTGAGTAAATTGGGAGCATGGGGACCTTAGGAGAGGATTGAAGGGGAGGGGATAGGTACGGAGGGGAGCAGAGAAAAATGTAGAGCTCAATAAAATTTAAAAAAGAAAAAAGAAAGAAATGGGACACCCAAAGAAAGAAGCCAGAAGGAGCCAGGCCCTCCTTCCTGCACAGAAGACAGCAACTAGAATCAGCATGGGTGTCAGTAAAGGGCCAGGCTTCAGTGAGTGCTGACAGCCTGGGGAGGCCTGTCTTTCTTGGAGACCCTCTTATGCAAGGACTGAGGAGGCTCACAAGCACCTACCCTGATCACAGCCACAGTTCCTCACTAGAGCTCAGAATGAAGACCCCACAGTGGAGGAGAAGTTCTAACTGAAAACCCACGAGAAAGGGTAGGGATGTTTTGTTTGTTTTGTTTTTGAACTTTCTTTGAAAAAGCAAAACAAAGTGATCCTAACATTTGAGCAAGAGAAGTAGACATCATTCTTCTGCCACAAGATAGCAAACAAAGCTCGAGACTTTTCTCTTCGCTCTTCAGCACTGTCTCTGCGGTGCATGGTCACCCATGTCACCTGGTAACAAGGCGGGGCAGCAAGGGCAGCATCAGTGAGCACTGAAGAGCTGTGCTAGCAGCCAGAGAACTACACTGGGTTCTCTCAGAAGTCCTCCACACAGCAGCTCAGTGTGAAGATAATTAAAACTTAAACGGTGCTGCAGAAGGCAGATAGGCAGCAGATTGGCGGGTTCTGGGGAAGATGAATGCTGTCCACACGAGTCCCAGGGAACCAGTCTATTTCTGACACTCTCCTGCCTTCCTTGTGCTCACTGTCTTCAAGCGGCTGACAGAGCCCGGACCTTGAACACAGTTCAGAACAAGATGTTTCAATAACGAAGTTCTTCAGTGCTAAGAGACTATGGGTGAAATGGATTTTGTCTTCTTTAATAAGATAAGCTAAAATGTTCTGGACAGCCTACTAAAACGGGAAGGCACTGCAGAGTTTTACAACAATGTGGGCTTCAAAGCAGCGCAGTTCACCATGTAGTTAGATAAGTCAAACGAGAGAAAAATGTTTAAAAATTTTTGAACCTTGGTTTCCTCCTCTATTAAGAAAGGTCAGCAACACACCCAAGTCATAAGTTTTCAAAGTCAAATCCCAGGATACCGTCCTATGAGTTGGTCAGGTAGACCACAGAGGATATCAGAGCAAAGTGGGTTATTACCATTGCTTTTGACTGCCCTCCAGAACTAGTCAGTAAAACTCTATTGCTGAAGATACCACATATTCTAGATATAAGAGACAGAGAAACAAAGTTGGAATTGAGCTGGCAGCTCTCTCTCTAGTAGCCAGCATTCAATGTGCTGGACGTGGTATGCAGGCCATCAAGGGAATAGAATCCTTCAGCAATCATATCCAGCTGCAGACCCTTCATGCTACAATAGCGAACTGCCTGGCAAGACATGCCTACTGGTACAATGGTGTCATGGACGTGCTGGGCTAACCAGCTGCCTCCTGATCAGATCCAGTGGAAGGAGTATATGCCTAGCACTGTAGAACTGCTCAAAAGCCGGGGCCAAGGAGCTTGGTCACAGGATCCAGGGGGAATCCACTACTTACGCTTTGCCAAATGGACATGCAGTTGAACTGCCTTCCAAATGTTCATACTAATATACCCAAGCAGCACTCAGCCTTGACCAGAGAAGCCTGTTTCGGCAATGGGTGATGGACAAAGTGATAAGAATACGTGGCTGCTAAGTGGTTGGTTCCAAATAGGGCATCTATGTCATGCCTCCTTGTGCCAGGGAACATGATGGAAGAGGATGGCACACGGATGTGGAAACCACAGGGTAGGGAGGAGTGCAGTGGGGCACTGACTTGATATCACATGGCTGCTGCAAACATGAAGACCCAGAAGCTATGACTGCCTGTAGCCCCAGCCCCTCAAAGAAGAAGAAAATGAGGGAAGGACAGAAGGGTAGGAGGGGGATTAGGTGGGAAAAAGAGAGTCAGTGGAGGTGGAAGAGGATAAAAAAGGAAGGGGTGTGAATCTCAGTACATTGTATACACATTATGATCCTGTTGATTTTAAAAAACAATTAACAATAAAATTCACCCACAAAAAGTCAACACTAGAAATGCTACAGAGTGCAAAGGCAGAGTGTGGCAGAGCAGGATACCCTTAGAGTAGACTGGTGGGGACATCACCTAGGAGAGTATTCCTGAACCCAGATGGTGGAGTGGGACAGGCCATAGGGCAGACGTGACATCATCGCATAGAGCAATAATGGGCTGAAGGAAGCAGGTTCTAGTAAGAAGGAACATTTCCTGACTCTATGGTATTCCTACTTTGGTCACCCAGGCTAAAAAAAAAAAAAAAAAAACCCTTTTCTAGGCCTGTCTCAATGCTCGTGGAAGCGATGCCCCCACATGAGCTTAAAGCTTAAAGCCTCTACCCTCCTTCCGAAGCTTCCCTCTTCAGCAGACAAGGAGACAGAAACCCGGGCGGTGTGGTAAATTGTTCAGTCCAACCGAAGGGCTCATATTTTTGTGTATACCTTGGAAGCTAAGAGTTTTAATTCATTGAGGAACATGAAATTTCCATAAAGAAGGCTAATATTTTGCTTTGGTGATTTCATG